GCATCCGGTTCTGTATCAAAAATCATATAAATTGTGAACAACGCTATATTGATCAGATAAGAATTTCCTGAATTCTCGAGACTCAGTGATACTAAACAAAGCCAAATTAGGAAGAGAAATTCAACAACGATTAGGGCTGACAATCACTTGAACTCAACCCTAAACTAAAAAGCAAAAAGGGAACAGCGAACATACAGGAAGAGGGGACAGAGAGAGCTTGGTGAGATCGTTGTTAGGTCTCATCCTGGTTCGCATCAATATTGCCAATCCTTTCTTGTTCATACCTAAAGATTGAATCGAACCTTCAAAGAAGAACCACGAAGAGACTGAAATGGACAAAGGTCGGTATCCTTGTTTCTTTCTGCGTTCGTTCGGACTTCATTTTCAAAGATTGGGTCATTCTCTTCGCACACTCAAGCTCCAAGAGCCATGAATTCTTCCCTTCTTCCCAACAACCAGATCAAACTTCGATCCTGTGGCTTTCAGGAACACATAGATTTCGAACCCACGAAAATATTCGTTCCTCTCCCAGTAGTATGAACATGACTTTCCATGGTAGTACGAATATTGTCCATTTTGAATAATAAGTTTTAGTCGCTTTCCTATGAATATTGTCCCTCCCTGATTATAAACACATTATAATTCTCTAAATTTGCTAGAGTATTATCGGATTATAAACACATGATTATTCCTTAAATTAGTTTATGTGGGACTTTCATCGTTCAACCATATTAATTATGTCTTGAAAAGTCATACCTTACTTAGATCTTAATAAGTGGGATCCAACAAACATTGATGTAGAACATTAGTGACTTTACATTAGACTAAACTACAATTTAGCGATCTTACTGTTGTTGTATAAATAATTCATACTATGTGGCTTATCTACCCGTTGTTACATGTATAATGTGATGTTTATGATATTTTTATGATGCATGTACTTTCAGTATGTCAATTCATGTATGTTTACAATACCATGTTCTCGTTATGCCCTGTGAGACACCTAACGAGCCATGTATAATAAAAATGAATGAAATTACAGGTACACGTATGTCATGAAAAGTATGGAAGCATGATGTGTATCATAACCATGTACCATGATTTGAAAATACAGGATCTTATGCATGCTGTATGTCACGAGTACGAAATAGTTCTCCAATGTGATTTGTACGGACACGTACACCATGGTACGATACACGTTTCTTTTTTCCATTAGTTTTCAGAAGCATGAGCGTGTATGCATACAAGTCCATTTAGTGGGTTCATGCACTGGATGGGCTAACCAAACTTCGCACTGAAATATAATATATATATATATATATATATATATTAATTGTGTTTGAAGCCCTTTTTCATTTAATTAATTTTGTTTTTTTTTTCATTTTGTATATATGAAATATGATTTTAAATAATAACTAAACTTTTGTTTTATATATTTTTATTTAACATTAGAACAATTCAAAATTAATTACTTAACTATTTAATTGTAAAATTTATGTAACGTTTCAATTGTATAGTTATAGATACAACTTATTCAATATTTACCATTAAATTAAAAATTATCAAATTCAAATCATTAAATACATATAATAATGATAACATTAGTTTGAACTATCCCAACTCAATTGACCATCGGTCATGCCGCAAAACCAAGGTCAACCCATCCTTCCTCTTACACCTATTAACTAAAGGTATTATCGGGTTGACCTTCCTCTTACACCTATTAACTAAAGGTATTATCGGGTGTTGGATGAAAGTCCCACTGACTAATTTAGGGAATGGTCGTGAGTTTATAATCAAAGAATATTCTTTCCATTCGTGCTAAACTTTTTAGGGAAGCCTAAAACAAAGCCATGAGAGTTTATACCCGGAGTAAACAATATCATACCAGAGTCTCTCCATTGGTGTAAGACATTTTGGGGAAGCTTAAAGCAAAACCATGAGAGCTTATGCTCAAAGTGGACAATATTATACCATTGTAGAGAGTCGTGTTAGAGGCCTTTTGGGGGGACAATATCATAACATTGTAGAGAGCCGTATTAGAGGCCTTTTGGGGAAGTGTGGTGAGTCTCTCCATTGGTGTGATGAGGCATTTTGGGGAAGCTTAAAGCAAAGCCACGAGGGCTCACACTCAAAGTGGACAAAATCATACTAGTGTAAAGAGTCGTGTTAGAAGCCTTTTGGGGGAAAATATCATACCATTGTGGAGAGTTGTGTTAAAGGCCTTATCGGAAAGCCTAAAGCAAAACTCCGAGAGCTTTAGACAATATCATACCTAACTCAATTATTTAATTTAATTTAATTTTTTTTTTTGTAAAATGTTAATTCATAAAATATTTATTTACTACTCGATTTCAATTATTTATTATGAACAATTACTTTCAATTAAAAATTATTTTTAAAAATCGTTAAAAATAATAATGAATAAAAAATATATATAATTATATAGTAACAATAAATTACTCAATTTAAATTTTTTTAAAGACCCCTGCCAGGTCACATTTAGTTTGGACAGAGATGGGTTCAGTTTTTTGTGTCTTGTAAAGGACTCAGTGAGTGGGCCCGAGCACACAAGACGCATTTATGAGGATTATTTTTATACTTGCAAAGGTTTGGCAGAAAGTGAAAAGTCAGACGCGCCACTGGGAAGTCCAAAAAGGGAACCCTCCGTAACTGTACATTTTGGTCATTTTGTCCGAAACTAACCCCAAGTCGGTGCCGCCCGTCCCTCTCCCCCTGTTTCCGCGGGTTCCTTTCCGAGTCAGCCACAATTTTGAGTTGGACGTTGGGAAGCCAACCGGGGCCCACTCCCTTTTTTCATTTTTCTAAATAAAATATTCCTAAAAAGTTTTTTATTTTTATATTCATATTATATATCAAACTAAATTAATAAAAATACATTTTAACTTATATAATATTTTTACCGTAAATATTTCATAAAAATCGTTAATACTTTATTTTAAAATATATACTTTATTTAGAGAGTAAAGTGCGTAGCTTACTTGCGGAATATACTTTTATACTTTTGCTGCTAGTAATTAAACATCTTGCCCTACACTAAGCTTCCTCTCTGTGCAGAGCTTCCCTTCTTTTGCTAACTCGTTGTTCGCCTCTAAAACTTGAGCAAAACCTTGTGACTTCACTGTACTCCTACTCTTATAAACCTATAAGAAAAGACAAAATTAATTTTTTAACCGAAGACGTGGCACAGTATTCAGCCTCTTCTTTCTGGATCAAGTCCCAAGTCAGATCTGAGAGCGAAAGCAATAGGTAGGGTTGGAGACCCACGAGACTGGAGCTGTTCTCAATTCAACCATGCAAATATAAAAGAATCAATTTTCCACCGAATATATATATAACAAAAATAATCATACAAAAAAAAATATTTGCCCTCAAGATTGTAAAACGCTCTAATTGAGTTTACAATAGTTTTATTCAACAATTTTAATTTAAAAATAATAATAAATAAGTAACGAGCAACTTTAGATGGACGTAAAAAAATCCTTCGAATAATTTTCAATAAATTAATTTTGTTTTTAATACTTTAAATGTCGTAAATATCCGAGAGATATATATATATATATAACATTTAAAGGGTAACATTATTGTAAAAGAGTGGATGAACCATAAATGCAAAAGGCAATAAAATTGTGATATTGGACCCGCCCTATTGAGCAATAATTATTCATAAATCAATCTTGTACCATAGGGCAATCAATTTTGAATTATTTTATCGCCTTTATTTCACAATATATATATATATATATATATATTAATTTTTATAATTTCAGAAAAAATATTTAATGTTACGAAATTAAAAAAAAACAAGTATTTATTTTATATGATTGAGGAATTTGAAGTTTAATAAATTTTCAAAATGTAATTACGAGTAATTATAATTTAATTTTTTAATTGATGAAAAAGGAGAAAAAACACAAGTTAATTAAACAAACCCATAATTACTAATTAAATTGTCACTAAATTAATTAGTAAAAGGATGTCAAATGACCGTACTACCCTTTGTAGAGAATAAAAAATAAAAATAAGATTATTAAATGCAGTATTTTTTTTTAAACTTGTGATTAATGTTTTTATACGTATAATAATACTCAATAATTTTATATAATTATTAATTACCGAATATGCCAAATAAGATAAGAGACAAAATAAATTGAACCTGAACGTTAGTTACAAAAAGACACCAAAACAAGACGAGAGTCAAAGCACCCGGTCTTCCCCTCCTAACTTCAACCCAAACCGAAAGTACAACGTTAAAAAACTTCGAAAGCAATCGCGTGTTAAGAACTAATTGACATAATAAAACAATAATCGTGTTTTTTTTTTAAATTTAAATAGATAATTATATTTGACCGAAAATATTTAATTAAAAAAACAAAATATTTCCCGAGTTTTGGAATATATGTATGGTAATATATTAGAAACTGAGTCTAGTTTAAAAAGTTTTTAAAAATATGTTTTATTATTATTTTTATTTAGGAAAATGAGATGAATTTATATCCTTCAAAAACAATCCCCACCCCAAAAGTAAAATACAATAAAAGGAAAAAGACACAAAGGACAACAGAAATTAAAAACGTACCCTGCTATAAATGCTGTCCAATGTTCTTTTTTTTTTCTTTAAATTTTATTTTTTAAAACTCTTTAAATATATATATATATATATTAATAATTAAAATCTGATTAAATTCAAATATCAAACATTTATAAGGAACACCGACCAATATTTTTAATATTTATAATAATCTTAAAAATACTATTGAATTCTACACTTTGGTTTTAAAAAAATAATTTTTAATTTTCAAAAAAGTTAGTAAATTTAAAAAATAAAGAAATATTATCACGTTTGAAACATACTAATAATTATCTATAAATAATATTAAAATGTTTAAGATAATCTATGCATTTTCGTTCCATAGTTTTTTTTTCTTTTTTTTTTTTGGAAAATGCACAAAAACGTGGAATAAACAAAGAACAGGCCTCACCTTTCACCTGTAATTGCTAGTTTCCAGAATTTTAATCCCCCGTCCCCTTCCCTTTGTCGCCGACACACTCTTCCTCCACTTTTTTCCACTTCTCTCTCTTCATTACTCTTCCACAATCTTTGAATCCCTTTCTCTCTCTCTCTCTCTAGCTGTCACTTTCTTTTATGGCGATGCTTCTGTCCACTGCCCACCGATCTCTCCTTCAACTACTACTTCTGCTGCTACTCCTTCTCCCTTCACCCCTCTTCTTAGCATTCTGCCCTTCTTTCTATGCTTTAAACCCATAAACAACAGCCTAACAGAGCATCCCTGAATGTGCTTGGCGTTGTAATGGCTCTGTGGGTCTTCATCTTGATGATTTTCTTGTTGATCTTTGGTTTTATTCCTGTTTCTCCTGCTCTTACTCATGATTCTGATGGTGGGTAATCGGTTGATTTCTTTTTCATCCTTTGTTTTGATCGGATTGCTGTTTCCCCCTCTTTCTGCTCTGTTTTTTCATCTGGGTTTGGTGGATTGGGTTGTTTGTTTGAAATGCGATTAATGTATGTTCTTCAGTGATGTTTGATTTGTTCATTGTTCATATGTCGATTTTTAGGGAAAACCCAGATGAGTGAAGGAAATTGGGGGAGAAAGTACCTAAATGTTCATTTGTATTCGATTAATGAAGAAGATTCATCTTAGTTTCTGAGATTTCCTCTGTTCTTGTTTGAGTTATGATCTTTTAAATGATGAACACGCTTGTTTGGCTTGTTATTCATCTGAGTGTTTTCTTGTGGTGTTGTAGTTCAAGCTTTGCAAGTTATATACACTTCATTGAACAGTCCTTCTCAGCTGACTGGTTGGATTGCTAGTGGTGGGGATCCATGTGCAGAGTCATGGAAGGGGGTGGCTTGTGAAGGGTCTGCTGTTGTGTCAATGTGAGTGATGAACTGATATTGATGATGCTTTTTTGATACTCAATCGCTTGATTACTTCAAATGAACTGATTTACTGTTTATTGCAATAGTGAGATTTCTGGTTTAGAGCTGAATGGAACGATGGGTTATGCGCTTTCGAGTCTTTTGTCATTGAAAGAACTGTGAGCAAACGATTATTATGCCATTTTCTTGTCTTTGAGTTCATGCTAGGATCCACAATCTTACTTACTATCTGTGTTCTTCAGTGATATAAGCGACAACCTTATTCATGACTCGATTCCTTACCAATTGCCGCCGAATCTCACGAGACTGTATGTTTAATCGTCTTTCGACTTGTCGGTTTGTTCGTGTTTAGTTGCTTACTTCTAATCCATGATTTGTGTAGAAATATGGCGAAAAACAGCTTAAGTGGTAATCTTCCTTATTCCTTTTCCACCATGGCTTCTCTCAGTTATTTGTGAGTGATGTTACAGTTCTATACATTTGTTATCATATTTTATGTCATTGAATTAGAATTGGATGTCCCTGACTGTCTTCTCTCTCGAAATCTCGGGTTAGGAATATGAGCCACAATTTACTATCTCAGGCGATAGGAGACGTTTTCACCAATCTTTCTACCCTGGGGACGTTGTAAGATTCTTCCTTGATTCCTCCTTTACATTTTTTGTTTATGTTATAATTTGTTTGTTTGTTATGCAATGCTTCCATTTTTGTGAAGTTTAATGATGTTGATCATGTTATGTCGTGTGATGTCCCACATTGGTTGGGGAGGAGAACAAAACACCGTTTATAAGGGTGTGGAAACCTTCCCCTAGTAGACGCGTTTTAAAGCCTTGAGGGGAAGCCCGAAAGGGAAAGCCTAAAAAGGACAATATCTGCTAGCGGTGGACTTGGGCGGTTACAAGTCGTGTTAATTATATCTCGTTGTTGGATCTATCACTTCAATATGCGTTTCTTTTTGAATCGTGGGTAATCAAATAACAAGAATGTCCCTTACAGAATGTTAATCTGAAACCATGATAGATCTCCATGGTTCTGACAGAGTGGGGAAAAAGAAAGGTGCTTCGCTACCCTTCGAAAGACTTCGCTGATGAGCTCTTTAAGCTCTTGATATCTCATCAGGTCATCAAAGCTAGCTGTTTCTTAAGTTTCGAGAACTTCACAAATGGCCATTCTCATAGATCCTTAGAGTCAGTGTGAGATCCCACATTGGTTGGAAAGCCCGAAAGGGAAAGCTCAAAGAGAACAATATCTGCTAGCGGTGGGCTTGGGCCGTTACAAATGGCATCAGAGCCAGACACAGGGGAATGTGCCAGCGAGGAGGCTGAGCCACGAAGGGGGGTGGATACAAAGAGGTGTGCCAGCAAGGACGTTGAGTCTCAAAGGGGGTGGATTGGGGAGTCCCACATCGATTGGAAAAGGGAACAACGAGTGCCTCGAGGATGCTAGACCTCGAAGGGGGTTGAATTGTGAGATCCCACATCGGTTGGGGAGGAGAACGAAGAATTCTTTGTAAGCGTGTGAAAACCTCTCCGTAGACGCATTTTAAAAAACCTCGAGGGAAACCCCGAAAGGGAAAGCCCAAAGAGGACAATATCTGCTAATGGTGGACTTGGGCTGTTACAGTTAGTGTCGATTCTCATGCGAGAAACAATGACGGAATCCTGTTCTAAACTGATTAATCTATCAAAATCTTTGTTGTTCTTTCAGGGACCTTTCTTTCAACAACTTTACTGGAGATCTTCCTAAATCCTTGAGCTCTTTATCCAATGTTTCTTCCCTGTAAGTGTTTGCTACTCCTACACTTTTTTCAAAAGCCTTTCGAAAAACTGAAACCGACACGTTTTAATTCTATCCGTTCTTCACGATGTAGCTTTCTGCAGAACAACCAATTGACTGGTTCTCTCAATAATCTCATCAGTTTGCCTCTGACCACTCTGTAAGTTCTTACGTAACGTGGCTCGAGGTCCAGTTGGCCGTTATCCTCTTCCTTTCCTTATTTCTTTGTTCTCTTTGCATTACAGAAATGTAGCAAACAATAATTTCAGTGGATGGATACCTCAAGAACTGAAGTCGATCGAAAATTTCATGTTAGTAATTGCACGTTATTCTGTTTGCATATTCATCTTGATATAATGAACCGTTGCATAACGTCTTTCGATACATCTACTATATAAAACAGATACGATGGAAATTCATTTGATGATAGTCCTGCACCTCCTCCCCCGCCTTTTACTCCACCGCCTCCTGGTAGATCTCGTAACAGCTCCAGACATCCCGGGTCTGGCGGTGGCACCCATACTGCCTCAAGTTCTGATACGAGCTCGTCCCACTCGAACAAAGGCTTGTCAGTTTTGGTTATGGTGGGGATAATTTTGGGTGCTATAATTATTGCCCTCATTGTGTTAGTTGCTTTCGCTGTCTGCATCATGAAGAGAAAACGCAAGAACATTGGTCTAAGAGCTTCCAGTGGAAGGCTGTCATTTGGCAACAATGGTTGGTTTTATGCCATTTGAGTTTGTAGGATAAATGATATTAGTTATGGTTCATTTGGATTATGAGATTCTTAACCTTTATTTCAGTGAATGCTGAGGTGGAAGAGCGTCGGGGAAAAAGCGTTGTTGCTGTTGGAGATATTAAGCCTCTTCGTACCGAGAAAATAAATCCCGAGAGGTTACAGGCGACGAATGGATCAGTGAAAAGAATGAAGTCCCCTATCACTGCTACTTCTTACACCGTGGCTGCTCTTCAAAGTGCAACGAATAGTTTTAGCCAAGAATGCATAGTTGGTGAAGGTTCTCTCGGTCGTGTTTACAAATCGGAGTTTCCAAATGGGAAGGTAAACTTCTTCTCGTTATCGATCGTTAATGCACCGAAAATAAGTTCGAAAGAGTAAGACAACGGAAGTTAGTTTATGCTTTTGTCCTATCCTCGTAACAGAAAGCCCTGAAACTTATTGACCCATTGGCCTTAACGGTCCAAGCCTACCGCTAGCAGATCTTGTCCTTTTTGGGCTTTTCCTTTCGAGCTTCAGTTCAAGGTTATTAAAACGCGTTTGCTAGGGAGAGGTTTCCATATGCTTATAAAAAATGCTTCGTTCTCCTCCCTAACCGACTTGGGATCTCATAATCCACCTCCCTTCAGGGCCTAGCGTCCTCGTTGGCACGTCGTTCCTGAATCGACATGGGACCCCCCAATCCACCTCCCTTTGAGGCCCAGTGTCTGTGCTGGCACACTGCCTCGTGTCCACACCCTTTGGGGCTCAGTTTCCTTGCAGGCACATCGCACGATGTCTGGCTCTGATGCCATTTGTAATGGTCCAAGTTCACCGTTAGCAAATATTGTCCTCTTTGGGCTTTCCCATTCGGGTTTCCTCTCAAGGTTTTTAAAACACGTCTGCTAAGGAGAGGTTTCCACACCCTTGTAAAAATGCTTCGTTCTCCTCTCCAACTGATGTTGGATCTCACAACTTACTTGTACAAGGTAGTTGCTTCCTATAGCTATTAATTAGCAACATGAGGCAAAAACAGCATTTTGGTCGGTTAGTTAAATAATCAGGATAGCGACAAATTACTTAGACGAATCATGTCGTATAGGTTCTCTGATGTTGACCTGATTTGTTTACTCGTATCTTGTTTCTTCCTACAACGAGCAGCCTTTCCTTTACTGATAATTTTACTCCCTAACAACGTGAGTCGATTCCTCATCCTTCTTTACGATGTAGATAATGGCGATAAAGAAAATCGATAACGCAGCACTATCACTACAAGAGGAAGACAATTTTCTTGAAGCGGTTTCAAACATGTCGCGATTGAGGCATACGAACATTGTGACACTAAATGGTTATTGTGCGGAATATGGTCAGCGTCTTCTAGTTTACGAGTTCATTGGAAATGGAAGTTTACACGACATTCTCCATTTTGCTGATGAAAGTAGCAAGACACTGACTTGGAATGCACGTGTACGCGTAGCGCTTGGAACCGCCCGAGCTTTAGAGTACGTCGAGTTTACTAAAACGTAACCGATATCCAATTTTCTTCTGATCCACAACTCTTGTATTGTAGATACTTGCATGAGGTTTGCTTGCCTTCCGTTGTACATAGAAACTTGAAAAGTGCAAACATTTTACTTGATGAAGAGCTCAATCCCCATTTGTCAGATTGTGGTTTAGCTGCTTTAACACCGAACACAGGGCGACAGGTTAACACTCGAGAATTCTTATTCTTTCCGAGCTCGGAAACATGTTTTTACGTCGTTCTTAGCACGTTTTCCGTGATAGCTATGACTTGATTTCTAACGAGATGTATTATACACAAATGTTTCTTTCAGATATCTACTCAGATGGTTGGTTCATTTGGCTATAGTGCTCCGGAATTTGCCTTGTCGGGTTTGTACACAGTCAAAAGTGACGTTTATAGCTTTGGGGTCGTGATGTTGGAGCTCTTGAGTGGCCGAAAGCCGCTTGACAGGTGAATTTTCCTTCGATACACGTGATTCATACCTATTTCTCGCTGATATATATATATCTATGTAATGTTTCACATTCCCTTCATATTGATCAGTTCGAGGGCGAGATCGGAGCAATCACTTGTGAGATGGGCTACTCCCCAACTTCACGATATCGACGCCTTGGCAAAAATGGTAGACCCTACTTTGAACGGAATGTACCCTGCGAAATCTCTATCGCGCTTCGCCGACATTATTGCTCTTTGTGTCCAGGTATACTTCATTTAAACTTTCATAAAACGTCACCTTCATCTTAAAACACAGACATAGCCTTACGTGTTTTGAAAACACCTTTGAAAACGACACAACAAAAGACATCTTATTCTAGCCTAAGTCTAAGAAAATAAACACGACTACCCTATACATGTGCCATGATCTCACTTCTAGAGGATCAACAACTGGTTATTCGAAAGTGTTAGTTCATATCATAATCTTTGAGCCTTTTGCAGCCCGAGCCCGAATTCCGACCTCCAATGTCTGAAGTAGTACAAGCACTAGTACGGTTAGTGCAAAGAGCCAGTGTGGTAAAAAGGCATTCGAGTGACGAGTCGGGTTTCACGTACAAAACGCCCGAGCACGATGTAGTTGATTTGCCATTTTGAGGGACGACACAGAGCTCTGAAACGAAGCCCGAACTTGTTTCCATTGTAATTAAAATATTTGAGTGTATAGCAGCAGGGAAGTGATTTCTACATTAAGTTTCTGTCTTTCCTTCAATATTTTGATTATCATTGTTCTTACTTGATGAATCTAAATTTGGTTTTTGTTTACCAAATTCATAAAATGTCATAAATATTGGAATATTTTATGTAACACTAAATAAAAAATAAACAATTTTGTATTATTTTTGACACAGATCCTTGCACTTTTTCGTATTTGCAGTCAGGGACCAAAAAGAAATTTAATTAAAAGAATAATCACAAAACAACAGATCTGATTAATTAAAATATTAAATATGATTAAAAAGTATTTTATATGTTTTCTAAATCAAATTAATTAAATCACAATTCTCTACTTTTAAATTTGAAAAAAAATGTCCAAAAATATTTTTAAAAATATATATATTTTTTAAAAATACAGAAGAATCCTTAGCATATTAAAACGACGGCTATCGTTGGTATCAAACCAATAACGATTCATACCAGCTTTTTTTTTAACTTTAAGAAGTGTTTAAGAAATACTCTTCAATTTTAAAATTTTTTATTCATATTTAAGAGTTTAAAAAGACGTTTGATGTTTTTAAAAAACAATTAAATAAAATACTTACTACTGGGGTTTGTAGCAAGTTTAAAAAATATTCATGAACTTTCAAAAATAACATTAAAGAGTTTGGATATAATGTATGAGGTGTCGATAGTCTTCTGACGATTCAATATCAATAATATTATTACTTCAATTCGGAGTTTTTAGTTGGATAAATCTTAGCGATGGAATAATAAGTTATATAATTCATTGGTTGATTGTATCATTAACCATTTCTTTCATTTGGTGTGAGGAACTTATTATGAATCCACTGATTTTTGTTGCTTCCGTTATTGCTGCTGGATTGGCCGTCGGGCTTGCTTCTATTGGACCTAGGGTTGGTCAAGGTACTGCTGCGGGCCAAGCTGTAGAAGGGATCGCGAGACAACCCGAGGCGGAGGAAAAAATCCGAGGTACTTTATTGCTTAGTCTGGGTAAGCAATAAAACTTTTGAACTTTTATAGGTACATAGTGTTCGTCCATATTATTGATAGTAAGCAAAATTTTTCAACTTTTTTTTAAAGATAAAAGCGTAAAGGGTATTATTATTACTTTGGTAAATGTATATATATATATATATATTTTTTTTTTCTTTTTTAGAAAAATTAAAGGGTATTAATAAAACTTTTTAAAGTTTAAAGCTTCCAAAATTAAAAAAAAAAAATTTAAACTAAATTAATAATTAATTATTGTATTCTTATGTAGAACAAGTTGTCTATTGATATAATCATTATAATCAAGTCAATCCTTCTTGAATCGTTTGTAATTAAGTTAGATTAAAAGTCTATTTTACTTTTATAACGCCAATGAGTGAGTGGAGTCTCATTGTTGAGTCTTAACATTAGCGTTTAAGGAAACTACTAATCTACTTACACAATATGCAAATACGTCCACTCATTCTTTCTCGAAACTCTAACTCGAATTCTTCATTTCGAGACCGGAAAACTCACATTAAACATACCAAAATAAAATAAAATAAAAAACTTCATGAACAAAAAATGTATACATATATCAAAATCAATATAAGAGAAATCGAGAGAAAACCAAGAGATGAGCAAAAATAAAAACTCATTTTCAGCCCAATCCGCTATCCACTGAAAGGCACAAAATCATTCAATTTTTTTCAACCAAACCATCTAAGAGAAGATCAAAAACATCCTTCATCCACCAAAATCAATCAAGAAATACAAATCATGATTTTCGTTGGGAAAAAATCACGATTTTTGTTGATTAAGCAAGAAATCGAGTAGGACGAAATCAAATGAGAGGGAAACAATGGGTTGATAGTATTGTTAGGAATGAGCGGGTTTGTTTTGGGCTTTTCAAAAGGCTCGTACCAATAAAGATGTATTCCTTACTTATAAACTCATGATCTTTCATTAAATTAACCAAACGTGGGACTCACTCCCAATAATCTTCCACCTTCGTTTGGGCTAATTTCACATGTACACTTAGAATGGACCATTTTCAGCAGCCTCTCAAGTTTCTTTTTCCGCTTCCTTGTGTCCCCAATCGCAATAAAACCAAAGACAAACAAAATATAGATTTTACCAAAAGAAGATACAAGACCAGACTGATCTGTTTCTGGAGAAACTCCCTAAGCCTCTACTACTACTACTACTACATCATACACACATATATAGCTTCAATCACAAAACAAAAGTTCTACACAGCAAAGTCCAAGCTATGCTATACACAACCCCCTGCATAAATAACAATTGAACTCTCCATATCTGCCATGGTTGAATGCAATCAAGAATTCCACCTGCTATGGTCATCTCTTCCGTCGCTTTGAATCGAGCTGCAACCATTAACAAACTTTATGTTAGTCCTTCTAAGAACATGTCAGATAAGAACGCATTAGAGAAATGGAATCTGAAAGCAACAATAAGATTGTTATCTTCCTCGAACAGGTGGGGCTCGTAGTTTTGTCGATGGGGGAAGTTGATTTCTTCTATCTTTCATTGATTCTTACCTGCCGGAAACATCTGTTTGCTGTCGCAGAGATAACTAATATACTTATAGCTTGACAAGGTTCAGAGCCAAAATGGAGAAAATTGATGTGTCTTGGAGGTGAGGGTTTTCAGTGATACTGAGAAATTCCAACTAATGAAGTCGGTTTTGAAATAACAAACTTCCAATGACAGTGAAACTATAACAAAATCCTTTTACTACTTTGCTGAATGATAATGATAAAAACTAAAGCATGTGTTTTCCAGAGTGGTATTGCAGGCCGTAATTCAAAGGCTGGGAAAAAGTAAGCATTTAACAGTGCATAAAAAGGAAAATAAATGCAGATTGCTATGGCAGTCGAAAGGAAAAGGCGGTAGCATTAATCTATATAAGTTTCATCCATTGGGTTAAATTACAAGTTCAATCAGTCAGAATTGTCTAATAGGTCTCTCGACTTAAAATTTAGGTGGCTAAATCTTTACTTTTGTGTCAAATAAGTCATTTCCATGTTCGAAAATTTTTAAAATTCATAGACCTATCTATTAAACTAAAAATTGAATAGTTTTGGTCATATAAGAATTCCGTGTATGATAGATTAGTGAATTTAAATATGAAATATGAATCAACCTACCAAACACAAATGATAATCACAAGATGGTTTATTGTCTGATGATGGAAAACTTTTCAACTAAGATAAAAGGAGATAACAAACAATTATAAGAAATAGCATTCGATCCAATGGCCTTGATGTGTTGGAAACGCAAATGATAATCACAACATGGTTTTTTTATGAAAGATAATTGGACAATACATTTGCTTTTAAGTGGATAAGCAACAGGAACAAAATAATAAAGAGTAATGCAACACGACTTGTAAAGCTATACTCTTGTAGAATGGTTAAACAAAAAATAAATGAAAGATGAGACAAACGCAGAGAACTAAACTCAGTCCAAAAGTCATCTATTTCAGACCATAGAAAGCAAATTACATTCCTCACCATATCAACAATGGCGTTCCCATGCACCCATGTCTGAAATTGAAAAACTGAAAGGAGTATCGATTTTTCCAAATAAACTACCTCCTTGAACTTAGAGGGAACTGTCAAGTTATTGGAAAAGTTTACTTACACAATACAGCTCAAATCTAGAATGATAACAATGATAAAAGGTGTCATGATAATAATGTACTTGCATTGACAGATAAGAAATCATTGATTTTGTCCAGGGGGGGGGGGGGGGGGGGGGG